GTGATACTGCCTCGGAAACCCAAGGAGGGGTCGCTATGAGTCAGGGCTGACTCGACGGCACATAACAACAACAACAACAAGTGGGAGACTGAAGGAAAGGTAGGTACTGTTATGGATTGAATCGTGTCTCTAAAAAATATGTGTTGTAAATCCTAACCTCTATGCCTGTGGTTATAATGCTATCTGGGAATGAGTTGTCTTTGTTGTATTAATAAGGCAGGATTCACGTAGGATGTGTTTTACATTAACCTCCTGTGAGGTATAAAAAAGATTAAACAAGCAATTGAGTAAGCAGAGATGGGGTAACACAGATGCCAAGACACATGAGGATCTCCAAGGAACCAGGAAGCACAAGCTGAAGAGACAAGGACTTTGTCCAGAGACAGCCAAGACAGACAGCCTTCCTCTCAAATGAGTGCTGTGAATTCAAACTTCTACTTCTGTAGAGATATCACCTTGGAAACCCAAGGAGGGGTCGCTATGAGTTTAACAGACTTAATGGCACTGAGTTTGAGTTAGCCTTCTAAACTGTGAGAGAATATGTTTCTGTTTGTTAAATCCACCCATTTGTGGTATTTATTGTAGCAGCACTAGATACCTAACCCAGAATTCAGTACTGAAGAGTTGGGTGCTAGTCTAACAGATACCTAAAATGTGGAAGTAGTTTTGGAATTTGGTAATGGCTGGAGACTACAAGAGTTTTAAGGTGTCCAACAGTAAAAAGCCTAGAATAGAAAGCCTTAAAGAGACTGTTGACAGAATTATGGACGTCAAAGGTAATTCTGGTGATAGCTCAGAAGGAAGTGAGGAGAGCTATAGAGAAGGTCTCTATAGCCTTAGAAAATACATATGGCACCAGCAGTGGAACACTGCTAGAAATGTAGGTGTTAGAAGTGCTTCTGTTGAGGCTTTAAAATGAAATGAACAACCTAAAGAACACAAAACAAAACAAAAAGAATCCCTATGGGGCAGTTCTACTCTGTTCTTTAGGGTCACTGTGAGTCAGAATCGATTGATGGCAGTGGGTTTGGTTGGGTTCTATTTATTT